GGTAGCCGTTGAGTACGTAGTCGATCAGGCCCAGAGTCTTTGTAAACTTGTGACGACCGCCGTACAGTCTCTTTTTATATTCAAGTTGTAGAAAAATTTGCCGTCGGCTGTACATCATGTCGGATATTACGACGTCTCTACAGGCGTTCACAAAGTTTACGACCATCGTCATCTTGTAGCGCGTGTCGTCGTCCACGGTGGTCGTGGCCTTGAACGTAAACACCAGGACAATGTCTTTGGCGTCTACCTGTTCGCAGGGCGGATCTTGGACGTGGTGATTTTCCGCAAAGTACCGGGACACGTAGACCAGGATCGTGGGGTCTATGGAGCGGCACACGTCCAAACCGACGTCGATGTAGTCTCCGAATGCAGAAGTCGACGGCTCTGTGTCCGCCTGCCCCAAGTCTAATCGCTCGAGAACCGGTAGTTCCATTTCTTATTTACTATTACGTATCAAAGACGGGCCCTCTCTGTATACGAGAAAGGCGAGAAAAACGACAGCAAAAAACAGAAGTATTGATAAGATCCCAACGACTATCAAACCATTCTCAACGTCGGATAGCCGATCGTGCAAGTCTCGGTTATATAAGTAAATGCTCTGAAGCATGACCCTGTAGACGTTGTTGGTTTCATTAGTCATTTTTATTATTCACATACTCGCTCGAAAACAGAACGGCAAAGGCGCACAGGCAAAAGATGGGCGTCACCCAACAGACGGCCGGATAAGAGTCTGTGATTGGGTAGACGAGTTTTTCCGCTTCGTGCGGCACAAATAGCGAAGCGTCCAGTACTTGAGGCACGTGCCTGGCGAATAGTAGGTTCGTTTCCTCGACGAGTCGATTGTCGATCTCGAAGGCATAGACGAACCTATCCCCCCCTCCTCTTCGGTCGTCGTTGAGGCGAATGCTAACTTCCCGGTCGGTCAGCGGTGGATCAAACACCCGGTCTTCGTCAATAAAGAGAGACTTGCGGAAAGACTGCACGGCCGCCCTCTTGTCCGAAGGGACGTAGACCGCTTCTCTGGTGTCGGAGGCAGTGTAGGCGTCCTTGGCCTTCGGGCGCACCTTGGAATATTCCGTGTGTCTGTAACGCCCCTCGTGGAATGCGGCCTTGAGTATGTGGTGCGTCCAAATGTCCCCCATGTGTTTTTGATTAATAGAACGTAGTGTAGATGCAATAGTAAATGCTATAGGTGGGTCATAAGGACCAAACGAAGTTAGGCACGAAACAATCATCAGCTCGGCTACAGGGAAGCTTTGGAAATCAGTCGACAGATGCTGCGTGGTATTTTTCGAAGGTCCTCTGGCGATGTTCGGCGGAGAAGACTGGTGCCAGCACAGCCTCTGTCGACGCAACCCGTGTTTGGAAGCGTTTTCGGTCAATGGCCATCTGCTCCCAAGATCCCTTGCGATCCACATCGTCTGCATCATGGACTTTCATAAAGGCGTCTCCGGTTTCAAAATTCACCTGGACCAAGATTGGAACACATTAAGAAAATATGTAGAGTAGCACACGAAAATCGATCGACAGTTACTACTTCAGTCAAAAGTGCCTAAGTGCGTATAAATTCGGCTCCGCTTTTTTGGAAAGCTACATGAATGAATGGATGAAGCACCTTTGAGATTCGATGCTGGGCTTGTTGGTCGGTGTCGTACTCCCGATTCCATCTGTCGTTTGCGTCGTCTACATGCGGCGAACTCGCCGCCCCGAGTCCTACGCAGTACACTTCGTTGGAGATCCTCGTCGGCCGAGATCGCACGGACCCCGAAAAAAGCTCTTTCAACAGTGGCGTCACAGAGAAGTCCGAGGGGCAGTCGGACACACTCGTTTCTTCGCCGGCGTTCACTTCGTCCCAGTCGCTACCGGTGTCGCTAATATCGTCATTCCCGCCCAGAATAAAGGCGATTGTGGCGTTAATGGGGGGTCGCGGTGACGCTAACCTTTTCTCATCAATCTCCGAGTCTGGAGGGATGTCGAGTCTTAAAATCGTTTCCTTTCCTTTTGTTGCAGAGCGGGCTATGCACCTGCCCTGGTCGGGGGGCGATTCGAGTGCTTCACCGGTTGGCTTCAACCTCGATTTCGGCGATCGCCTCCGTCGGCGTCGCTCGCACCTCCGACAGCCCGGGAACTTCGACTCCATCGACACATTCCAAAGGGCTGGGTGGCCGTAGGAACTTTGGGCGGTCGCACTTCTGCATTTTCCAAAGGGAGCGCGGCTCCTCTTTTTGTTGACTCCTTCAGTCTGTAGACTTTCTGGGTTTCATTAGTCATTTTTTATTATTCGCATACTCGCTCGAGTTTTTTCGCTTCCGTGCGGCACAAATAGCGGAGCGTCCAGTACTTGAGGGGACTTAGACCGCTTCTCCGTTTTTTTTTTGGAGGCAGTGTACGCGTCCTTGGTCGTCGGGCGCACCTTGGAGTATTCCCTGTGTCTGTAACGCCACCCTCGTGGAATGCGGCCTTAACTATGTGGTGCGTCCAAATTTGTCCCATGCATTTTTTATTAATAGAAGATAGTGTAGATGCAATAGTAAATGTACACCGACATGGCGGTACAGGTTATCAGGCACCAACGGGAAGTACGCACGAAACGATCGTACTCTAGTTTACCGGAGCTCTCTCGCCACATGTCTCTTGCCAGGTTTATTGTGGCTTTGAATAGCCTCGAGATTGCACATGCATATAGCACAGATACGACAAAAATCGGATAGATCAAGATGCATAGAAATTGCCACAAAGGGCCGGGTAGATCGCCGTCTTCCTTTTCTCGTATATTCTTTTCAATTTCCTTAGCAGCGGCTCGGAAGGCTCTTATATTTGCTTCAATTTCCGCGTGTCTATCTTCCTCGCTAGTGCCTTTGGTGATCAAGTAGGCTGGTTTAGTCGCCATGAGTATGCTCGAATTCTTTTTTTTGAGGTGCAATGCGGTCGAAGGTTTTTTGTCGATATATCTTTCGGATTCTTAAAAAACGCATTCCAAAGGCATGGTCAGCGTGCTGCGGTCATTTAAACACACCCAGGGGACTGGGTCTGTTTTTTTTTAGGCTTTCTCCCATTTTTCTGTAGCTGAATCTAGCTAGGTAATTTTTACCTCACAGGCGTATTTGCTCCTTAGTGTAATTTTTCGTAAAAAGCAGAGAAGCCCCTGTGAGCATCTCATAAGCTCGCAAAAAGCGGATTGGAATGGAAGTGGTTGGCCGGTTTTTTTTTACAAATAAAAGCTCATACTAAAGTTTAATACATATCCAAGACCTAATACAATTGACTGTCTCCCAATAGAACCATAGAAAAAGATAATTTTCCGATACTCGACCTTCTTTTTTTTTGGTGTCCGTTGTACCAGAGGGACCGACGGACAAAGATATTTATTTCCATACTACCCCCTCTCCCAATATTGGCTTTCTATTATCGCCTTAAACAGATGTGTATGTACACACCACGGGGCGTGAAAGAATAAAAACACAAGTGTTTCTTGTCGTACGATAATAAGTTTATTTAGGCCATGGCGCCACCCTTTTTGAAAATAAAGTTAATCATCATCATTTAATAATAAATTCCTTGTTTTTTGGGATCAATATAATATTTTGCAATGTCGCGATTCCGAACGACGACCCTTCGCAGCTCGGACCACTTTGTGGTCCGGTCCAGGCGAGTTCCCATCTCCGCCATCAGGTGGTCCATATCTTCTACTTGGAAGATGCCGTGGAACATCGCGGTATCCGATGGAGGTGGAGGGGCCGCGATGTCCAGGGACTCGTCCCATGCATTTTCGTCTTCGCCCACGTAGTCGGATATGACTTCGTGGGCGAAGCCGAGTACACGGGATAGTCCACTCGAGTCCACCTTCCTTGACGGTACTATTCTCAAAAACAGTACCAAATAATTTTTCGTTAGAGCAATTTCGAATACGTTCAGAAAATGCAACGAATTAAGAAAGTTAATAATTTCTACAATTCGACGATCAATCGGGTCGCCGCATGCTGAAAAGACTGCGACGACCGTCTTGAATCGCGAATTATCGACATCTGCGATAGTATTTTTCGAATCAAGAAAATATTCGAATACTTTTTGAATTATAGTTAAAGCCAATTGAATTTTCAAATCAATATATCCTTTAAATAGGTCCCCGAGAGAACTGGCCCTTGCCGGGAAGGCGCGGCACCAGTTCCTCGTGACCTGAACCTTTTTGAGAATTGTTGCCGCCATGGTAGAGATGTGGTCCTTCTGGTGAGCCTGCGTAAGAATGGAAGGTAATGAACAAAAGAAGTGCCTTAGAAAATGAAGAGTAACTTACAGAGATGGGTCGAGACCAAGAAGAGCTGCAACGGTGCTGTTCGGAAGCTGGGTTTAGGCGGTGGTCCTGCGTAATAATGGAAAGTAATGAAGAAAAGAGGTCGCTTACAAAATGAAGAGTAACGTACCGAGTCGGGTCCGAAGTGGCCTGGGGGTAGGTGATGGGTCGGTGAGTCTAGGGGCGGTGGGCGGTGAGTCTGGGGCGGTGGGCGGTGAGTCTGGGGCGGTGGGCGGTGAGTCTGGGGCGGTGGGCGGTGAGTCTGGGGCGGTGGTCGGTGAGCCTGCGTAATAATGGAAGGTAATGAAGAAAAGAGGTAGCTTAAAAAATGAAGAGTAACGCACCGATTTGGGTCCGAAGTGGCCTGGGGGTATGTGGTGGGCGGTGCGCCTGGGGCGGTGGGCGGTGCGCCTGGGGCGGTGGGCGGTGCGCCTGGGGCGGTGGGCGGTGCGCCTGGGGCGGTGGGCGGTGAGCCTGCGTAATAATGGAAGGTAATGAAGAAAAGAGGTAGCTTAAAAATGAAGAGTAACGCACCGAGTCGGGTCCGAAGTGGCCTGGGGGTATGTGGTGGTCGGTGCGCCTGGGGCGGTTTTCGGTGAGTCTGGGATGGTGGTCGGTGAGCCTGCGTAATAATGGAAGGTAATGAAGAAAAGAGGTAGCTTACAAAATAAAGAGTAACTTACCGAGTCGGGTCCGAAGTGGCCTGGGGTATTCGGTGGTCGGTGAGTCTGGGCTAGGCGAAGAGAGAGTAGTGCTGTGGGGTTCCAAGTTGGAGCTTTTATTCACTTGCGTTATCATGGGTCAACACTGATTTCTCCGAAGTAGTTATCTGTAGCCATTGAGACTTACGTCCGCACCGATATCTCCAACCTACTTATCTACCGAGGTCACGATACTCGAGCCCGCAGCGATTCTTTTTCTCCGAAATAGTTATCTATCAAGGCCATTGAGACGTAGTTTTCTACCGATACCTCCAACCCCACTTATCTACCGAGGTCACGATACTTGAGACGGTACCGATTCTTTTTCTCCAAACTAGTTATCTATCGAGACTTAGTTTTCCACTGATATTTCCAACCCACTTATCTACCGAGGTCACGATACTTGAGACGGTACCGATTCTTTTTCTCCAAACTAGTTATCTATCGAGATTATTGAGACGCAGTTTTCCACTGATATTTCCAACCCACTTATCTACCGAGGTCACGACACTTGAGACGGTAGCGATTCTTTTTTCCCCCAAGTAGTTATCTAGCGAGCCCATTGAGACGTAGTTTTCCACTGATACCTCCGACACACTTATCTACCGAGGTCACGATACTTGAGTACAGCAGCGATTTCTTTTCCCCCAAGTAGTTATCTACCGAGCCCATTGAGACGTAGTTCCGAAGTGATATCTCCAACCTACTAGACCGCATCGATTGCCATTTTGTAGCGAGTATCGTCCTTCACGGTATTCGCGGCTTTGAAGGTAAAACACCAGACCTCGCCTTGCCTGCTCGAAATCTGATCTTAAGGATAAGACTCGCGTGAATGTAAGATCATTCCCCGCACTGTAAAAAAATCCACGAACACTCTACGTTCAATAAACATTTTTTAGATGAAACTTACCGTGTAACGGAGGTTTCGCTGGCTTGTTGATGTGACTTCTACGGAAACCTACTCCTTTATATAATCCATTACACGAGTCACTTCGTTTAACCTTTCATCGAAAATATTCCCTACCCATTGTCCTGTCAAGGTTTCAAATTTTCTTCACTTAACCATCTGATAGCAAAAAAAAAAATTTCCTAACCATTGTCCCGTCAACTTTTCAAATTTTCTTTTTCTTACCATCTCATAGCAACGACACTACGGTTAAACATTTTCAGAAACAAAGGACAAACACCTTTCGTGTCTCTCTATACCATACAAGTCTAAAGCAACTACTTTCTTAGTAACAAAGGTTAAAAGCAAGGAAGGAGTGGTGTTTTGTTTTTCTCAATATAAATTATTTTATTCGGCAGTTCATCTCACAACAATACGAAAGTTCAACTTGGCATCGGGGAGTGTGAATGTATCCACATGAACTCCACACCGCCGCTTCTCCAGCATTTAAAATTTTTCTTCAAAAAGTCCCCCCTAACGACAACAACACGAAGGTTAAACTTGGCATCGGGGAGTGTGAATGTATCCACATGAACTCCACACCACCGCTTCTCCAGCATTTAAAATTTTTCTTCAAAAAGTCCCCCCTAACGACAAGAACACGAAGGTTAAACTTGGCATCGGGGAGTGTGAATGTATCCACATGAACTCCACACCGCCGCTTCTCCAGCATTTAAAATTTTTCTTCAAAAAGTCCCCCCTAACGACAACAACACGAAGGTTAAACTTGGCATCGGGGAGTGTGAATGCATTTACACGAAGTCCACGTCGGTGCTTCTCCAACATGCGAATTTATAAAGCAGGACGACGTATTTTTGGCGTTTATCTGCTCTCAGGGGCCGATTTTTTTTGACGTGATGATTTTTTATCTCTTTCGGATTCGTAAGAGAACGTATTCCAGAGGCACGCCATAAGGCTCGATGCCGGGAGCCACGAAAATCTTGCGGTTCGGAATCTCGTCGATCGACCGCGCAATCGCCGCCCACGAATCCGTGGTAAAGCCGAGATAGGTCGCCGCCACCTCGGCCGAAGTGAAAACGTTCATGTCGACCAAATCTCTGGCGGTAACCGTCTGGCATTCGCGAAGTGGGTTCGTCCCCATCCGAGCCGGCGCTTCCAGGATCCATGGGTTTGGTGCGATATAGTCGTTGCCCTTTTCTAGGTGAACGTCGAACAATTTCAGAGCAAAGGCGGAAAAGGTTTCCAGGTTTCCCATGGCCATTTCGCAAATAACGTCGCGAATCGTGGCCGGCCTCAGGGCAGATTCCCTCTCTACGTGAAAATCAAACTCGAGCTTGGAGTACCGGCCATTGCTCCTTCTCGACAAGCTCCACTCGTCGTCGCGCGAGTCGTACGTCAGGCGTAGACTATTGGTCTTGTAAGGCACGTACGTCTCGACCAAGCTATGCACACCGTCAGAGTTTCCGCGAGACATTTCCACCGCGATCGCAAACAGTCCCTGAGCCAGTCTTTCCGTCAGGACGGCACTACCCTTTGGTCTACCCTCCCCCGGGGAGAGCACGGAACGCTTGCGTCGTGGTCTCTCTTCTTCCTCTCCTTCTTCTTCTTCGTTGGAAAACACTTCCGTACAAGTCACCTTACCCTTGCTGTGAAATAAGAAATCCATAAACTCGTCGTCCCTCAAGTTTAGATTCGTGTAATCGCTGCCGGACAGGAGCTCGGCTTCTTCTCTCGTAAAGTAGTTTCTGGCAAAGCGACCCAGGTAGGGCTCCACGTGCGGCAGCATCTCGAACCTGAGTCCCACCTCGACGACGGAGCGTAGACGCGCGATGGCGGTCCAGACGACGCGAGCAGCGTTCAAGGCGTCCGCTCGCGGCACCTCAAACTCGATTACGCTCAACCAGTCGGGGTAATCGGACGACGACCGGAAGGAGTACTTCAATTTTGAAAAAGTGACCTTCTTGTCTATATTTCTACTCTTGTAATAAAACGTTTGAACGTACACCTGTAAACACTTTTCTTTGAGCCAGTCGAGACGGTCCAAAGAGGCCTGGAACGCGTCGTAATCTTTTGCGCGTAAGACAGCCGCCATATTGTGACCGAGTGTGTCGACCGGTAAGAGGTGTCTAAGGAAATACACGTAGCGCGGAGGAAGTATCTGGTCGACCGCGGTCATCAACTCTTCGCGCGATTCGGGACACAGACCCACTCGCGTCGGACCCAACACTTGGACGATCACGCGGTCTGGACGCAAAAAGCCATAGTAGGTGGACATTGCACCGTGCGGGTTCCTGACGAAGGCAAACCACTCTGCTCGCGACCACGCGCGTGGATCCATTCCCCAGAACGTGCCTGTAAAGGCCACGTAAAACCGGCTGTAACGCATCCACTCGTCGTAGCGCGACGGTTTCTCGGGGTCACCCAAGGCGTAAGCACTGATCACCGCGTCGACGGCGGTCGCCCAAAAGTGTCGATTGACTTTTGCGTGCGTGTCGACGCCGTATTTCGTCAGGGTGGGTACCAGTCTCGCTATCACAAACTCGTAAAAGCTCATTAGGCGAACCGGGGTCGCAATATTTCGAATGTCGGCCGATCGCACGTCCCTCGATTTCTCGAATATATCTCTAAATACCGTACGGACACAGGAGCGCAGCAGTTTGTTTGGGCGGAAAGCGTGGTCGGCCTTCCTATTTGTTTCTGGAACGTAGGGCCAGGTGGACGCGGCCACCTTCTCCTCCAGACTAGACTCGGTGAATAGAGCGTCCACACTCAGTTCAGACACCACGTAGTCCTGGGATCTGTCGTTATCGGAAGACGCGAACCAGTTTAGGTCGTGCAGTTTGACGGCGACGCGCTGGTCGCTCAGTTCGGTGTACACGAGAATGTTGGAGTTGTCGCCTCCTCCGGGTTCCGCGTACATTAGGAATCTGTAGCAGAGGCGCAAGAGATTACCCACAAAGCCGCCCTTGTGATTGCATCGGTAGGTGGACTCGTACAGGGTGGCCATCTCGGCGCCAGTAACCTTGAACCAGGTTTGAATGTCGATTATGCGACCCTTGTGTTGAAGCCACGACGAGAAGGTAAAAGGAACCGTGAGAAATGGAGCGTCCAGCGTGATTTCCTCGTCCCGGGTCGCCACGTACATGGGGTACCAGAGCAATGGGGGCCCCCTCGTTAAGCGTATTCTATCGCCGTCGCGCACCTCGCCGTCCTTGAAGGTGAAGACGGTACCCGTCACGCAGAAGGTCGGCACTTCGAGCGAGTCGAAGTAGCAAGCCCACGGAGTCGCGGCTACCGAGGTGCCCTTGCAGTTAGGGCTGTAAACCACGTGAACGGCCGAAGGAGTTACGGCGTTCACTAGAAATAGCGCTAGGATCCAATCGTTTGGGGGGACTGGCGTTCCCGTAAATATTCTGAGCAAGAGAGTAAAGAAGTATACTTGGTAATGTGACTGAGGGAACCTTTCAAATACGGGGTTCTTGGCTGCCAGCTCCTGATATCGCGACCACTCTCTCATTGGAATCGACGGCACGTCGTACAGGATACGCCTGACCGCCGGCATAGAGCGGGCCTCCGTCCATTTCGTCTGATCACCGACCGTCTTGGCGACGTATTCGCTTACGTACGGTATGGCAAACGGCCGCCCCATAAAGAACTTTTCGAAAATCTTTTGCCTAACTTTAGCCTGGTCGGCGGCGAAGTCGCGCTTATCGTCGTATACCTGCCCCTGCCATATGGCTCCATCCATGTTCGCCTATTTAAAAAAAATGAAGCCCGTATTTTTTAAATACGCGACAAACTTTGCCGTCAAACTCTCGCTCGTCGGAGCGATTGCCAATCGCGTGAAAAAGTTGAAAACGACTGTCAGGAGCTCGTTCCCCATGAAGCGGATCGTCGAGGAACTGCCAGAACTCAAACGACTCGGCATAACCAAGCTGGAGGACGTGTTGCATAGCGCCAGCGACTTGCGAATCACCACAAAGACCGGCACGAGCGTGGTGAACGCTTCCTCGTTCTTTAGAGCGTTACGCAACGGAGACGTCTCCAAACTCAAAAAGATGCTTGGAGCGACCGACGGAGTGCTCGACGAGACGCTACTTTCCAAGCTGGCCAAACAGAATAAGACGGCAATCTTGTCCTCGGTGCACCAGGCGGCGGACTCTGTGGACGACACGCTCCGCACCCTGGCCAAGCAATCGGACAAGCTAAAAGACGCAGAAATTGTTGGGTCGCTCAACAAGGCGGGCTCCAAGGTGGACGCGTCCGTCCTCAAGAAGGCGGGCGTCAGCGACGAGGTTGTAGAGCAGTTAAAGTCCATCGAAAAAACGATCGCAAAGGGTGGGACGAAATTCAAGAGCAGGCTCTTTCTAAAATTGACCAACGTCGGACTGGTGCTCACGGCCGTAGGAGTGCCACTCGGTCTCGTTCTAAACACTCTCAAGGATGCCAACACGGGTTGTCTGCAGTACACAAAGTTTAGCGACGGCACCGTGGGCGTTTGCAGGGCCCTCGAGTACACGCTCGTGCCGCTGCGCGAAAACACCTTCACAGACAGAGCGCCTATCAAGCCGTGTCAGTCTGTGCCGCTGCCCACCTTCGACGACGCCGACGCCGCCGACCGACCATCAAAGTCGACTCCCATGCCGAATCACCCCGGTTGCTCCGTGTTGTGCGACGACAAGTACCTGGTCCCCGACTCTACCGAGAGTCTCAGGCGCGATATGGGTTTAGACGACAGGGACGCGCTCGTGGCTTTCAATTCGCTTAAAATCAACCCGAACGTCACGTACAAGTGCAACAGCCCCTCCATCGCCGACATTGCCGGTGACATTGTCCTGGACGTTGCGCAAGACGTGGGGAAGTTTGGAAAAAGCGTATTAGGGGTCTTACCAACCGTGCTTAAAATAGGACTGGGGTTCGGAGCCGTATTTGGCATCATCGTGTTTATCGTTAAAGCCAAAGAAGCGTACGATTCATCGAGAGGACGACGACGACATTAGCGAGCGGTAAAGCTTTGTGCCGGCCAGCGCAGCCGCGGCCGGCACTCCGATCGCCTTGATCCAACGAATA